CAATGGGCAACCTAATTTGGTATCGAATTCGTCATCCATGAGATTTAAACCTAAAACCTCTCACTCACAAATGAAGAAAAATATCACCAGACTGTATTACTGAGTGGCTAAAAATTAGTTCGCACCAAAAGTCTTAAAATATAGTAAATCTCTCCAAATCCACTAAAATCTATCCCTTTCAAAAAACTTTAAAAACTTTTATAAACTCTTTTAAAACAATGAGTAAAAACACCCGAATGAATACCCGAATTTCTATAAACTTTTATAAACTCGTTGAAACTACTAAGTGAATAAACTCCGAATTTCCATAGACTTTTATAAACTCCTTTAAAATATAGGAAAACTAATGAAAAGAGTTTTAAATTTTTACATTTTAATTAAAAATCATCCACTAACTTTATTTAATGATAAGGGACAAAATAATAAATAAATAACATAAAAAAACACCACATGCACTGGCGCACATACACCTCACCCAACCCCACATTTCCACTCTGTTTTCTCCCCATTGTCAACTATCATTAAGACATTATTATTATTATTATTATTATTATTATTGCTTAGAATAAAAGAAAGACTTCAAATTGAATTACATTTTTTCAGTTTTATTTTTGTGGTGTTGTTTTCCAATAGTAGTCAAGATGACAATAGGTTTTTCAATGTGCCCAGAACACGGAGTGATACACCACATCTCTATAGAAGTGGTGAGATTCTTGTGTTAAAAAATAAAATTTCCCACCACTTACATAATAACATGTGGTGTAGAAAGTTAAGATTGTAGATGGAGAAGAAGCGGAAGCTGCAGATGGGCGGACAATAGAAGAAATTTAAGTAATTGGTGTAGAAAGTTAAGAAATTGAAGAGATACAAAGAAAATTTGATGAGTATCGAAAAAAATTAGAAGAAGAAAATGTGTTTGGAAGGTGAGAATGTGCCAAGAAAATTCAAGAAGAGGAGAGAGAAGAATGTAATACCGTTAAGTTTTATAAACAGTATAGTACTGTTAAGTTTCATAAATAGTGTAGTACCGTTAAGTTTTATAAACAGTGTAGCACCATTAAATTTCATAAACAATGTGGTACCGTTAAGTTTCATAAACAGAGTAGTAAGTTTCATAAACAGAGTAGTACCGTTAAGTTTCATAAACAGTGTAGTACCGTTAAGTTTCATAAACAATGTAGTACCGTTAAGTTTCATAAACAGTGTAGAAAATTTCATAAACAGTTAAATATTAAAATTATGTCCTTTTCATTAGAATTTAAGTTCTTTTGTCATTTTTATTAAAATTTAAAGATTTTTCATTAAAATTTAAATCTTTTTAATTAAATAAAGTTATAGCATGATTTTTTATTAAAATAAATTTAATCCAAGCCATTTTCATGAAAATTTTCTTAAAATATTAGTGTACCTCCTGACCTTTTGTATACTCATTAATAATCCTACTTAAATACCCTTGAATTTTTAAAAGTCATTAAAAAAGACTTTTAAAATCTCAATTTAATACAATCAGCTAAACTGATTTTCTTTCTTTTTCTCAGTGAACTCATCTCATCATGAAATTGTTGTAGTATTCAGGGATTCTCTCAAGTATATATCCCCCATTTTCTCCGTCGTCTTCCAGGCAGGTAAGGGGTCTAGATCTCCGGGAGTTGCTGGGAATTGTGGACCACGTTGATATGGATATGTCGGACAATTCAATTAGGGGCGACAAACATCTTAAAATCTTGGTTTTTGATTTGCATGTACTTAATATATTTATGTTAGATTTTGTGTGTCCCATATTTTATATTTTGGAGCGTCATGTCTCCGTCCCCTCTGCTCCGATTACCGTTGGGAGTTCAATTTCGGTGCACCACTCCCTTCGTCCACTCTCATTTGAGCTAATATCATATTTTTTTAGTTCTGCAATATTGTGTTCATCCGCGCCTGTTTCTCTTTGATGGATAAATTAACCAAACTTCATCTCTCTCTCTCTCTCTCTCTCTCTCTCTCTCTCTCTCTCTCTCCCTCCCTCCCCTTCCTTTGCAGCCAACTGACATTACTTAATTACACGTGTCATGCATTTTGCAATTATGGTTTCAAATTTGGAAGAAATTTTTAGTTGTGACGGGAACATAGATAGTAGGGACACGTGGTGTATCACCTCGTGTGACGGTCACATTGAAAAATCTCTCCAAATTTGGATGAAACATGACTGTTTATGTTTTGGATGAATAAGTATAAATGATTTTTCGACAATGGACAGAGATCAACACAGCAACAAAGTTCGGAGTAGGCCCCCTTAGATTCCAAGCTGATGAGAACGAATATACAAATAAAGTAAATTAAAAAGAAATCATTGCCCTCTTCATATGAAGAAGTACTTGATGTGCATAAGGATCGTTAAATGACTACTACTTTACATAATGGAGTTTCTGCCGGTATACAGCAAAATAATTACACCAACCTTTTTCTCTCCTTAAATAATTAAACTTAGAAACAAAATGACAAACTAGGAAAGGTGTTGCTGAAGTAGAGGATCACAATAAAACAGTCTTGCACAATGGGTGACATCTTCACTTTATGCAGTGGATCTGACTTAGCTTCACATAGTTGAACAACAAAAAGGAAATGACATACTCGCACAATACGACTTTTGAAAAGAAAAGTCAAAGAATTACTATGTCTAGCCCTAGTTAACCCAGAAACCCTTAAGATTGTTGAAACAGATACTTCTGATGATGATGATGGGTATGGTGAAGTTCTTTTTTTTTTTTTTTTTTTTTTTTTTTTGTCAATGGTATGGTGAAGTTCTAAAACAAGGAACTCAATATGTTAGTATATATAATTGGACAAACTAATATGCATGCACTTGTGGAGATTCCTTGTTTGTTGTAGAAAATATTGCGCCCTAAAGTGAGCTTTGAATGCCATTGTTAGCTCTGCGCCTATGTTTTCTGTCCAAAAAAAAAAAAACAAAAATTGAATGAGCATTTTAAGTATTTGCCGGTGGCTGATGCCTGATGGCGATCAGTGGGATGTACGGGTTGTTGTTCATTTTATTAAGCGCTTAGGTCCAAACCCCAAACTGTTCGAAGAGATTGTCTCAAGCACAAAAAAGCATGAGTGTCCTTGTTGATTAATCAGTTATATAACATTTTATTCCAAAAGCAAAAACGTTTATACACGTAATTAGTTGTAACGAGCTTACAAATCAGTTGTTTAAAATGCATTCACATTTGCATATGAGATTAGGTGTTCGATTTTTCTCTCCTAATATCACTTGTGTGAAAGAAAAAAAAAAAAAAATAGTTTTCCCAACTTTTATCTGTTCTATGTATCAGGAATATTTGAGATTGAATTTGGTGTGGACCGTATGTATGGTCATTATCCTCAAAATTTACTATGCATGGTTAAATTTCTTTGATATTTGTGTTGAAATCTGAAAGCTCGTAATCTTTGCATTGTATCCATGTCTTGAACAGGCATGGAGGACTAGAGCCTACAGGAAGAACATTAGGTTGCTGGAAAAAGTTTTTGGACAGACAGAAAGAGAGGTACCACATTGTATTAAAGGGGACCAAAATAAATTAGATAAGCCAAATGGGATCAATGTTCTCTCATGCTTTCCCTGCAGTGCAGATCTAGAGTAAAAAATGTTGGAGCATGCATACAAAAGGGATTCAAGATATAACTATATTATATATACACAAAAAGATCAGCAACATGGCCTGATCACTGGTCCTTGTGAATGTGCATGCCATTGCCACATTAACATATATAAGACAACGCAATGGATACTGGATGACTCTTTATACCGTAGAAATAAGTTGACGGTTAATCATAAAGATATAATTTCTTAACAATTGATTTGTTTGACATATAAGAATGGATAGTTGAATGGTTTTTAAATTAAACGAGTTTTTCTAGATAAATGATAAAGAGAACGGTGACTTTAGATTATGATGTCTACCATCATCTAGTCGCAATTTTCATGTTACGCTGCCATGCATACATACATGTATACCATCCCTATCTAAAACCTATCAACAGATCTGGCAAAGTAGAATAGCTGAGCAAGGAAGGGGAAGGCAAATCATAACTAGTAGCTTAGCTGTATAGCTAAACTTGAATATAAGCACGCGAGAACATAGAGCATGTTGCAGATCCTTGCAGTTGCACCACACACGTATGAATCCTCACCTATGTGCCTATTTTCCTATGTATAGATGTGTCCCAAAATTGGATAAGCTTTGCACCCTTCTTTTCATCCTTTTTTCGGAGAAAAACAAAAAGAAAGAAACGTTGCGACCAACCATAAAGCTTCTTAAAAGTAAAGAGCAGTTGAAGCGGTAATTCCATTCAGTAGTAAATCACCATGTGATTAGGTAGAGATGATATAGGATGAAATTCACGTCAAATTACACATATTGTTACAAATTTACTCATATTATAAATTTGATGAGCTATTTATTAATGTTATGCCCTAAGTCGATGAAATATCAACCATGTCGATCATCTATGTTATAACAATTAGGAGTGACGCATGACTCTCATAACAAACTTCCAATACTAATGTTTATATGATTATATCTACTCGAAAGACTATATATTAGAAGATAAGCAAAATAAGGTGTATAAACAGAACCTCCATTTGAGCTTTTTTTTTAATTTATTTATTTCATGCTTTCCCCAGAAGTTTGGAGAAAGCTGCAATTAGTAGAATTTTCCTTATCCTCCCTTCTCGAAAAGAAGAACGTGAAATTCTTTTTCGTTTCTGTAGGAACCAGGGGATTAGATATAGCCGTAAGAAGATTGAAGAGTCCTGCCCATTTCTTTTCTTTTTCTTTTCTTTTTTTTTATTTTTTTTTATTTTTTTTTTATGCACCATGATCTGCATTTGCCAAAATACACACACACACACACACACACACACACACATATATATATATATAATTGTTACATGCTCAATGACATACCTCACAAGCACGTCCTAACGTTCAAGTTTGTTAACACAGAGGTGACAAGGAACTGGATTCTTAAACGAGAAATCCTAATTCCAGTCTGGGAAGATGGAAAGGCAGGGTTAAAAATAAAATTACAGATTATCCATGAAGGGTAGCTAACACCAGTGAAACAATATGTAAGGAACCAGTAATTACAACAATTCGCAACCGGTCCCCCGTTCTTCCTTTGATAATCTGATTTGCTATCTTCAGGGATGCCTGAAACGAACCCTCGGTGGACAAAATGGGTCTATTTCCTGACCTGCTTATGCAAAGTAATTGATCCATAGTTGAGTTTTGGTGTTCCGGCATTTCGTCGTGAAGAATATCTGTTTCCAATTCTTGTGAAGCTTGGATCCAGCAATCTCTTAACAATGAGGCTGCAGTTGTGCGAGATTTTGCTCCAGCGATGTTAGCTTCGGTCAAAATGACACCCTCTACATGCCCACCTAGAAAATCAAACAATGCGGTCAGATCTCTATGGAGTCCATCTGTCATGAAGGTACATGCTCCCATCTTTCCCACGCCCGACGCCCCAACAATGAAACATTACAACCAGGGAATATTATAGAATAAGTAATAATACAATCATAGAAATCGAGTACCGAGTACCGAGTCCTGACTGTACCTGAAAGGCACTCTGTTGCAAAACCTAGATGATCTTTGTCACTAGCCATTGCAACCACAAGAGTCAGTCCTGCCTCTGGAAATGTCATCTTTATAGTGTCCATCAACGCTCTTGCAGAATCTTTGGTGTGGGCTGAAAAATCACTCCCAGCAAGCATTTAGTATTGAGTTACACAATGGTAGTAATAAATAACAGAAACTTTAACTTTTAGAGTTATTGGCCTCGAGTTCAGTTCGATAGTCTTGACAATCTCCAATCGAGTTCAACCATAAACAAAACCGTACAATTAGAGTTCATGTTAGAAATCAGCACTACTAAGTTACAATTTACAAATTACAATAAATACTGATTTTCCTCTAGTAATCGACCTACCAATAAGTGTATATATAGTATTGAATATTAGAGCCTCATCTAGATATTTAGGAGGGAGGGGAAATAAGGAAAATCACACCTCCGTCAAGCAATATTGTTGCTCCAGATAATCCTAATGCCTGGGCTTCTTTTGATGTTAGAAACTGACTTCTTCCAAGCAAGCTTGTTTGCTCTAGACCAGTTCTAATGGATCCATCTGAAATTCTCCATCCTGAAGTGCACATAGAAGCATTAGGGGGGAAATCTAAAGGACACGAGCCTGCTCAACAAAGCATGGTATTCAATCACTTATGTTCAATAACCGTGAAGTGACTCTGACCTTATGTAACATGGAAAAACCTATTGGTTTCCAATATGACAACATTATTGTCCAACAGAAAATTATATAAAACTAACCCTCACCTAAGTTGCGGAGACATAGTGCTGCACAAGTAGCAGTTGCTGCATTCTGAAGTTGGTGAGTTCCAAGCATGTATAGTTTCACATCCAATAACTCAATGAACTGCAAGGAAACCCACAATTACAAGTCCTTCACAGAACCTTGGAAATAAAACCCAATAGATCCCATGCCCGAATGCATACCAGCTGCAAGTCCCTTTCAACTCGTATGACTATATCACAAGATTGGAATGGTCTGCCATTGAGCATGCTAACACCATTTATCTTACTTTTATTTCCAGTATCAGATGCTAATACCATAGGGGAACTCATCAACAATGCTTTATCACGAAGAATTTGGTCAATATGTGGAAGGAATAGACCACCCAGAACCACCTAAAAATTTATATAACCAATTAGAATCAGATTAATTAATAAATTTCAATACACCATCACGATGAAAAAAGAAGTAGCAATGGCAGTTCTGATGTCTGATAACCAGCAATTTGAACATGAGAAAGAGATAACAGGCAGCATGTAACTACTATCATTCTACAAAATCTAAGTAGGGAATCCCCATGGTTGACCATCGAATAACCTAACAATTTTTTCATTTGTAACATGTCTAGAAGGAAATGGGGTAAAGAGTTAGTTAAATGGAGAACAGTGCAAGAAAACTTTTAGCTTATTTGTGCAGATGAAATCTCCAAGGCAGAATCACCTAACTGGGCGCCCATGTTTAATGATTCCAGACTTCGCCATTGCAATGCTTTCCAAAGAACCCCCAAGTGCAGCCAAATGTTCCTCACCTATTGTAGTAATGATCGATGTGGCAAGTTCGGAGCTACAAATGACATTAGTTGCATCACGTGCGCCCCCCAACCCAGCCTGTTCATTTGAATTAAGCAAAGTCAGGACAATCATAACATTTTGGTTTTATAGTAAAAAACTCAAAACAACCCTCAGTTTAAATTGATTCCCTTCAATTTTTTCTTTGTTTCTAATTAAAAGACAATAGAAGGTGAACGTTGAGCAATGTGCATGAATAAGATGAAATTCTGTGGAAAAGACATTAGAAGGAGAAGTGAATAACCTCAATAACCGCAATGTCAACATTCTCCTGAGCAAACAATGTGAATGCCAAAGCAGTGAGAACCTAACAAATTCCAATCAGTTAGCCCCTTACATGAAAAGTACACAAAGCATCAGTATGTATTCAAACAGCACTGTATATGAAAAGAATACATGTTAATAAAATGCAAAGTGATAACAATTAGCATTAACAATGCCCAGATGCTACGACAGAAAATGCTGAACTGAGAAAAAATAATCTTGCGAATTCATCTACATGCTCCTTCCCAAGACTTCAAAACGTAAATTCTCATTAATTAAAGCAGAAAATGATGAGTTTTTGAGAGCTATACAGCTTCTCAACCGTATTGAAATCTTTTTCTGTAGTCATTATATGATGATCATCTAATCAAAATGCAACCAACAAATTTATACACAAGTGGATACCTCAAAATGACTTGTACGCCCATTTTCAACTTCTATTGCACGATCCAGAATCTTCTTAACCCCATCAAAAAGAGAACTCAACGCCTTCGCTGACACTGGTTCAGCAAACCTTCCCACTGATATACGTTCCCTTATAGTTTGAATGTGGGGGCTGTAGACATAAACAAAGTCTCTTCTCAACAAAAGGATAATAAAAATTCAGAGGAAGTTCGAAACATAAAGTAAAATGACAGATATTGAAACAAACCAATAAGCCACACCTAGTATAACAACCAACAGAATAACCTTCTGCCCTCAACATGTTGGAGAGAAATGCAGCCGTTGATCCTTTCCCCTTCGTCCCGGCAATGTGAACCGCCTATAATTGCTGTCATGCCAGTTAATTACGCTTGTTCTCAAGCTCAGACAAACCACATAAAAAACAAGATCATGAAAATTGGGAAAAGAACAAAAATGTCTGCTAACTCATGTCATGCATAAATTTCACTTCATGGATCTTAAACAAAGTAGAAAAGCACTTTCATGCTACGCACTTTCCACAAATAAACACAAAAAGTCTCTCACTTTCAATGTCAAATTTCGCAACTTTCTCACTAAACAAACAGAACACAAGCATTAAAATAGAGTTAGAATTCGAACCTTGAACTTGGAGTGAGGATTACCCAGTAGCTCCAGCAACCGTCGCATCCGACCCAGATCGAACCCGTCTTCCGAATCCGTACCCGCGTCTTTGGGTACGCCCAATTTCTCGTAGTTCTTCAGAGAATCCATGTATTCCAGCAATCCCTTCAGCTCCGAGTCCTCTGAGCGCGTGCAAAAGCATCGTTCGGGCCCCACATTCCGCAGAAGCCCAACTCCAATTGAAGAAATTAGGGTTTTCCTGCGAGTAGGGATGGAGTATTGTCTGAGATGTTGGAAAAGTTTCATTCTTTCTAGTTTTCCGTTTGTTTCTCGGGAAAAAAAAGTGATGAAAACCCGCTCGGTTGAGGGAAATTCATCGCCTCGCACAGTCGCATGAGAAAATTTCCCAAAACGCACAGTTTGCTTAATTGTACATTGGTCCCGAACTACAACGGAAATTTAATTTTGGACCATGAATTATGAGTATTTAAAAAATTTGAATTTGAAATTGACAAACTATGAAATACTGACCTTTCAAGAATTTTTGTCAAACTACACAATACACTTGCTTGAAAATGACATTTTTATTTCAAGTAGTAGATTGTTTTATAACTTGTTTGGATGTGCTTTTAAAATGACTAAAGATGCTTTTGGTGAAAATATTTTTGGAAACAATCCTTAGAGAAAATGCTAATAAATCCTGGAAAAACACTTAAAGTGTCTTAAAAGCACATACAAACGAGTTATGTACTTCTTGTAGAAAACATTTTAAGTGCTTTTGGAACTCAAAAATATTTTCTCTAAAAGCACTTTTAATCATTTTAAAGACACATCTAAACGAGCCCTTAGTGTTTAGGTTTTCCTTTTTAACTGGCTGGATCCGCAATTCAAATGTGTCTCCCTTTCCTTAATATAAATCAATACAGAATATCATTTATATTTTAAAGAAATGATATTTTCGCACTATTTCTCGATTTACTTGCAGGTATGTGTTATGTTGTCACATTTGGTCATGATAGTTTCTTTTGTCGGAGGTTTAGGACATTTATAGGTAAGTTTGAAAGTGCTTTTAAATAATGGACTTGGATCCTCTCATGAGCTAGCCCCAACATAGCTTAGGGATCAATTGATCACAGCCCTTCAATTTGATCCTGCGGCCAAGAAATCTTCTCCACACATGTCCCTCTCGACCCCTTCTTCTCTTGCACCTCTCTCTCACTCCCCTTCCCCCTCATTCTCTCTCTCAACGCATCCATGGAAGAAGCTGTCAAATTATTTCACACAACCCATATGGGACTGAAGACGATGATGAGGGGGGTGAAAAAGATTACGCCGATGACGGTGGCAGTGATGGTGAGGCTGGTGAGGAGAAGGAGAATGACACCTGAGACGAGGAGGGTGAGGAAGTTGACGAGCTGGGTAGAGTTAGGTGCACCGGAGACGAGGAGGGTGAGGAAGCCGATAGTCGGCCATGGATGCGTTGAGAGAGAGAAGGAGGGGGAGGGGGAGTAAGAGAGAGAGGTGCAGCAGAATAGGGGGTGGAGAAGGACAGGTGTAAGGAAGATTGATTGGCCATAAGATCAAATTAAAGGGATGAGATCAATTGATCCCTAGGCTCTGTTGGGGCTAGCTCAGGAGAGGATCCAAGTCCTTAAATAATTTAGTGAAATCATTTCTTGAGATGACAACACCCTACATTATGTAAAATTCAGATCTTGACAAAAAATGATACTTTTTCAATTTAAAGACCAAACCTACAATTAAGTCATACTCCAAGGACCCATGCTGTAATTATTTCTGTCTATAAGGAAAAACAAACCGTTGACAGTTATACACGTGGCGACCATTCCGCGCCTCCATCTCATTGCGTTCCAGTTATTGTGTATTTGGGATGCTTCCCCTCACACACACACCGTTTGCAGCAGCAGTAAAACCCTAATCGAGCATCTGCTCCAAATCGCCAGATTCTGACGCTGCCGTTCTAATTGCTTCTGCAAGTGAGTTCATATTTCTTGAAAGAATGGAGCTTTTGGTTTAATTTTTGCCCCTAAATCTTCAATTTCTGAACGCTGCAATTTTTTTATGTTTTTTTGTAATTCAGGTATTTGTTAATGGGAGAACTGGTGAGGTGATTTCTGAAATTCTTGGTTTTGATAGCTGGTTTGAGAAATTATGGAGGTAATGGAACGTGAAGATGTCGCCGGTGTCCGTTGTCGAAAGGGATTGGATGGGTGTGGGGATAGTGAACTGGAGAATAGGAGCAAGAGAGCTGAGGAGAGGTGTGTGGAGTTAGAGTTGGAGATTGTAAAGAGAGATTGTGAGTATGCAGCTCTGGAGGCCGAGTTTCGGGCATTGGAGCGCGAAAAGATTGCGATTGAAGAAGAGATCAAGGCTTTGAGGAGGGAGAGTGGTGGAGATGAAAAGAAGAAAAATCGTGGGGGAGAAAAAGGGGAGGGAATTGGTGATCTGACGGAGGAGAACGGGGAGGAAGACAAGGTCTGTCAGCTAATGGTTGAGATTAAAGCATTGGAGTGTGAGAAGAAAAAGGCTGAAAGCGAGTTTGAGGCTTGGAAGCAAAAGTTCAAGGAACTGGAATCGTTGGTCTTGAAAGGCGGGGAATTGCCGTTGGATAGATGGATGAAGGTGGCAGGGGTAGGATCGCTAAATGTGGATTCTCTTGAAGACAGCGGGACTGTGCAGTTGAATAAAGGGATTAAACTTGACGATGAATTGCAAGTTGAAGGTGGCTTGGAGTATTCCAGAGACAAGGATATGGCTGTGGATCGGGTGGATGTTGGCTCTACACGTCCCCCCCTCGGTAAAGAGATCGGAAATTTGCAGTCAGCAGGTATGAAGTAAAGTACATTACTCACCTATATACTATGGTAGTTTAGCATCTACTTTAGTATGTGGTTCTGCTACCTTCCTTGAATAAATAGTTTGACGAAATTAATGTATCGGTAGTCAAGCTGTGTATGAATATGAGTCAATTTTTATCCAAATTTCTGAATTAATACGGTCATTAGCGGCACAGAAGTGCTCATATTGGTTTAGTTTGACTCATATAACTGCTTTGAAGTAGTGTGAATGCAACTTTTGTTTGTCTTTCCTATAAAGAAAATTAATTTTTTTACATGTCTTACCAAAGCGATGCATTTATTTTCCTTGAAGAAAATTCACATTACACTACTTAGTCTATATATGATTTCATGTTTCTTAAACGAATGTATTTAATCTTTACACGACAATATGTAACAGTAGGTTTCAAAATCTATGGCAGGCACTCTGTGCAATGACACACCGTGTAAGCATTGGGATGGTATTAAGGGAGAGAATAAACGTGTCTGTGTGCAGTCTGATATGAAATATTCTACCAGCAGACAAGCTAGGAAACGGTTGGAATTCGACAAAGAGGGGAATCCTTGCAAGAAGATGGCTCCATGTACGCCTGGTGGTGGCATACCTTCTTCTCTCACTATCGTCAATATTAGTGATAGTGATGATGAACTTTTGCCTGCAAATAATCAGGAAAGCAGAAAGGTCTGCATTTCGTCGGGTTCAGTATTAGGAGAAACTGGGGGTTGTGAAAAAGATATGACTACCAAAATATGTGCTGAGGAAGATGTTGATAACATCAATGAGGGCCTGCTTGCCTCAAAACCCAAAAGAAAGCGTGCTCTTAATATTGTTACCAGTGACTCGGAAAGTAGTGATGATGATATTCCTATCGGACAACTCAAGAAAATGCATCTTAAGGAAATTATACATGACAAAGTAGGATCTGATCTCAATGACAGCTCAGTGACTGCTACTGTGTCTGAGGTTGACAATGCCATGGGTACTGTTAGTCCTCCCAGGCGGCGTCTCGTTAGGTTGAGAAAATGTGGGGCACAAAAAGACTATTCAGCTCAGACAAGTGAAACTAAATATGATCGAGAAAATCTTGCAAATGAGGATGTTGAAGATGATGATGTGGAAGAGTCTGGGTCGGAAAGTGAAGGTGAAAGCTTGGGTGGATTTATTGTTGAAGATGATTCTGCTGTTTCTGATGGTCATGATGCTTCTACAAAGTCAGAAGGTTCCTCAGATGATGATGTGGACTTTGATGAGATTCTGTCCAAATTTCAGAGGAACAAAGATCAGAAATCGAAGTGGGAATTTGAGGCAGACATGCTGTCTGCATTTGGTAAGGATCCAGAGCTGTGCATGAAAGCTGTATGTGCTCTTTATCGACAGCAGACTTCTGAAGAACAGTATACCAAGGGATCATTGTGCACCAATAGTCGTGGTTTTAGCAAGTTCGATGCTCTCAAGTAAGAATTTGTTTTTGTGATTTATGCGATATTAGGATTTAACTTAATTGTTTCTACAATCTACGTGTTTCTTCAAATATATTGCTGCTGATGTTCTGTTCTCCCCATGTTACAGGGGATCTTTATTGGCTGAGTTTCTCACTAACGGAGACCCGAACGGAGATCTCAAGAGAACTGTGAAGGAGTTGCAGGCATATGACCCAAGGGGCATTGAAACGTGTAGGACATTGGCGAGTCGTTACTCTAAGCAACTGTTCGAGATCTACAAGAACAAAGAGGATCCTCTCTTTCTACCATTTTGATGGGAGATATTACCAGTCCAGATCCTCTGCCAGAAGTACTTCCAGGGTTTCCAAATGCTTGTAAACATCTAGGTCCTTTTGGTTTCAATTTATCACGGTTGTATTTGTATATAACATCTAATTAGGAACATCTGAAGCATTAGGTCACTTATGTTCTTAACGTCGGATGTTTTGTGTCCACGTCTGCATTTACCTAAATCAATTAAGAAATGTAATTCTCGTTTGAGAGATTCATCCGTTGGGCAGCTCTCTCATTTACCTAAATCAATTAAGAAATGTAATTGTCTTGTAAACATCTAGGTCCACGTCTGCATTTACCTATAAAATTTGGGTCCGCCACATCAGTAGCCTGACAGAAGATTTCTCCCATTTTCCGGGTGAGAATCCTCTCTGGATCCTCTAATTACGTATGTTCATCGTACATCGTGCGGTCAGAAATCATTGTAATTTTTTTTTATTTAAAATTGAATATAAACCATACCTGATAAAAATTGACCGCATAATGTACGATAAACAGATGTAATTGAAGGATCTCCGGAATCCTCACAAAGAGGATTTAGAGAGGATTCTCATTACGATTGTGCTATTGTTTGTGTGCACCTGCGTGACTACATGCTTACAAAATTTCCTCCTCGTGGGAGATGGGCAGCTGCCACGTAGCAGACAAGCCCTTGGAAATATGGAAAACGAGATTGTAGTTGGTGACCAGATGCAACTACTCCAACAACTCATTAGATCTTGCTCCTTGCCCTTATTTAAAAAAAAAAAAAAAATCAATGACTTTATTACGACAATTTATCTTTTTAAGGTTGGAAGGATTAATGTCTATTTAGCCTCTCTATGTCGATCATCATGTAATTCGCTAGTTTCATGAATCGAACTCAAGACGTGTCATGTAATACGGACTTCAAAATTACCCCCAACCAGTCTATCATTTCGTGATGATTTTGCTCCTTGCCTTGGTCACTAATAAATTTTCCAAGAAAATGAACCGTTCTGAATATTAAATTAGGATTCCACCATTGGCCCTTCTCCTTATAAAAGGCCACCTATTATGTATGTCATAAATCCCGTACGATATGGAGTCATCAGTTACTAGTTTTCAAGTGGTCAGAAGAGGAAGAGCAGAGCAAAAGGGGGAGAAATCTGGTGTGTTCTTTAAAATGCCATTGCACTATCCAACGTATTCCAAATCCGACTACGAAACCATGCCGGAAGGGAAGCTCGACCGCCTTCTGTCGGAATACGGTCTTCCGGTTGTCGGAAGTGTGGAGAAGAAGAGGAGGTTTGCCATGGGAGCCTTCCTTTGGCCTCGTTTAATTAGTAGCTAGCTAGTTCTTGCTAGCTTCCACAGCATTAATAAAATTAAGGGTCTAGCAAGCTAGCTAAACTTGTCTCTGTTGTTTTCTCTGTCTTGTGAGACTTGAAACATGTATCTAGCTAAGCTAGCTGATGATCTCTGATAATGTAGTGTGTTTTATATATGCTTCTGCTGGTTACTGGCTATCTCTCGACCTATTCGGCTACTCTGCAATCCTTAATTTGATTGCTCTCGTCTCTAACGTGGTGTTCATGATTTTTCGATGCTCGTCTTCCAAGATACAACGAATTTCCGCTCTTGTGACAGTAGCACTCCAAACCACAAGAACCTACATCGTTTCTAATACATCAATTTTATAGGGTAGCAAATAAAGGGCCGGAGAAGTGTGAGGTTATGGACTAATTGGTGAGACCAAAATAACAAAAATACGAATATCGTTTACTACTGATCATGTAATACAGATGTCCGAATCCAAGAATTTCTCCTTCGAATGATAAATACTCTAGCAAAACATTATTAGAAATCTAGATAACAGGGCAAACGCAATACAGTCTGTCTCAAAATTATCCAACACCAAACCTAAACACACAAACAAACCGATTTAAATTTAGCAAAATTATTAAGGAAAAATGGAAATGAAAGGTAGCATGGGTAGGTGGATCCCTACAGATGCGGGTTGGCCCCACACTTCGCCATGCATGCACAATATTTGGCCATAAAAGCAGAACGTTGTTGATCCAGAATCTCCCTACCCTTGGGCCTCCCTTTAAGCCATTTGATTAGTCTCTTAATTTATTTGTTAATCGTGATTAGCTTTTCTCTCCCTCTCTCTGTAGGTTAACGTTGGTGTTGATCTCTTCTTGTTTGCAGGAGGAGATCTTCAAACGTTAAACAAAGAGAAGAGGTGGAAAGGGAGAAAAAATGGCGGCGATGAACTCGTCATCTTTTGGTGTGGTTGCAATTATTGCCACCTTTTACGCTATCGTTTTGCCTGTGGCTCGTGCGACCAGCTTGGCTCCGGCACCGGCATCGGCATTAACAAGCGATGGTAACCTCTCTTACATTTCTATCTTCGCATTGGTGACAATGACATGTTTGTGTTATGTTTAATTTGTTTTTAGTTTTTTTCATTGATCCCATTTTTAACAAAAACCTTTTTGGATTGCTTTTTGGTATCTAAAAGCCTTTTTGGGGTTTTCAAATAACCAAAAACGCTTTGACAACGTTCAACATAAAATACTAAGGACATGCCTTGGGCGTGATTTTAAAAAGTTAATAGCACCTTTAGTTATCGAAAGTGCTTTTAACAATTTTCGACGTAAAAAGTTAATATTGTTTTTAAATCAATAAGCTCTCATATGGTTTTGGGGTTAACATATGGAAAGCAATTGCTATGTACTTTGTTCAGGATTACCTTTTTATTAAAATTTTGGATCTGCTTTTAATAAAAGCTTAAATACTTATAAGCATAAATACTTTTTAAATAAACATTTTCAAACGTTACATCTTTAATTCTATGAGTATTTTCTGGTGTTTTTTAGATAAGCACTTATAACTAATGAATTTTATTGTTAATTACTTTATTTTTGTATTGTGCAATTTGCAGGGACAACAATAGACCAAGGGATAGCATACGCTCTAATGCTGCTGGCATTAGTGCTCACATATCTCATCCACTAAATTGTACCATCCGATGATCGATGATGATAGAGATGGAGGGAAACGGACGGTGCAAGATCAAGCAAGGATAATGTAAAATCAATTTGCAAATTGGATAAGAGTACATTTATTTGAGGATTTATTGCGAATTTGGTCAGGTTCTTGTTTAATATTCTTCCATGTATATTGGTTCTCCAACGTTAAATTTACTTCATTAATTAGTATATTAATTTGTAAATTTCTTGTTTTTGTTCGGTTTAATATGACCAAAAGAAAATACTGGATGTAGTCATATTGGTTAAAACAAATGTGCTCTCCACATACACCTAAATGACAAATCTTTCTTCCAGCACTTGTAGTTTAAAGTAAAAAATCACTTGTAGAAAAGTAACGAAAAAGAAAAAGCGTTACCTCACTATTAAAAGCACTTGTTCTTGCACTAGGTTTGTTACATCAACTTAGAAGCATTGAATTTAAAATTACTTTTAAGTCGTTGATGCGCCGCCTTGACTTTTTAATAAAAATTTCAACGTACTTCTAACAAAAGCACTTGTGAGGAACGAGCTTTCTACATGCTCATTTGGAAGTGATTTTAAAATGATTGAAAGCTCATTTGGTTAAAGTGTGAGTTCCAAAAGCACTTTTAAGTGCTTCCTTCAAAAAGCACCATTTATGTGCTTTTTGCATAAAGCACTTCAAATAGTTTTCCAGAATTCACTTACATTTTCACTAAAAATTAATTCTAAAAGCACTCATCAAATGCGCTTTCAATCATTTTAAAATCACTTCTCAACGAGCCCTACAACAATCCCGAACCAGTTCAATATCTTCATTGCAAACTAGGGATCAAGAGAAAATTTTAGAGAAACGGCATAACTTGATTAACTGAGATGAACTCTCAGAAAAAATTTGGACAAATAAGCAGAACCTAAACGTTAAAATGTCTGCTCAAAACTGAGTACAAAGTAAACATCCAAAACTAGAGGAAAAATCTATTGTATCTGCAAAACTTGTAGCTGATCTTCCGTATCAAAATCGTTTCCTCATCTTTTGCAACGTTTCAGGACGCCGCATCAAAGGAGACACAATCGAAGGATCATAAAAAAGGAGGAAAAATGGATCTGCCCCACTATCATGAAGCTTCATACCGCTGATGGAGAACATACTTCACAACTTCGTAGAAGGAAACCACAATCCCAACAGAAGGGCCTGCGCGGCCAACACGAGGGCCAACTCCTGTGAACAATCCCTTCAAACCTCCACCCCTGTACCAGAATACAGCATTATGTAAGTGTAATTCCTAGGAAAGATCGAAATGAATAATCGGAAAATTTATAGATTAGAGGGATACCTCCAAATCTCCATTAGTGTTTGCCGTGTTGTCATTTTCATTGCCCTGACTGGATCATTCTGATTTTTTATTCCAAAACAGATGTAGATTAAGAGCAGGGTAAATATATACAAAAAGAAAGTATAATAATTTTCCCCAGAAATGCAGTTTCAGTAGAATTGTTTATAAGCATCACATGTTCATCATAAGAAGTTCCTGCTTATCAAGTGATCCGTTCGGAACAGAACACAGAGAAGCAAATTACCTCTATCTGCCTTCGGGTTTTTGCAACATCCAACGGACATGTAGCTGCAGCAGCAAGGCTTCCTGCAACAAAAGCAGCGGAAAAATTTGCCCAAAGGATATTGAGTGCGCTGGCTTCATCACCCACCAGACCAAGAAGTTTTCTCCTGAGCTGTTCAGACAGAAATAAGAATTTGTTAAAGCACGTAAAGATACAAAAGAATAAGCAATCGGAAGAATGAATCCTTACTGGCTCAAGGGTTGCCCAACAGATTCCTGAGAAGGGAACATCACGAGCAAGCTGTGCTCCCAAACCGGTCCACAGGACGCGATAACCTTGCACTGATAAAAGAGAGACTATATCAAAATCATCAACTTCAAAAAAATAATAAGTGAAGCCAAAGCAGCAAACGTCATAAAAAAAAAAAAGTATAATAAGTGATGACTCAAATCGTCACTTATTTCACTTCAGGTCTTAATTTGTGTTCATGGACAAGTTAATGCAGGAGTGATTCTATTTAAACTAAAAAATTTGCTCCGTAATTCCCCCAAGTTATTTCATAAAATTTTAACCTCTACAAATTGAAGGGGAAAAAAAAAAATACTTCTCTGCCAAATTTCTGAAAGTTCAAAAAGAGAGGATGAAAAAATGGATCTGAGAAACGCAGGAAAAAATGGACTTACAGTTGCTCTGCACATGACTTGTCGTCTTGACATGAGAGATGACACCAAATAAAGTCTTCAAAACACCAGGAGGCTTCCCGCCATTCTGTATCACTTTGAATGCCTATTAAAAAAATTTGATAAATTAAAATAAATAAAAGTAGGAGAAGCCTCCACAACTAGGCTCTGAAAGCCAGACCAAACTTTGCCAAAACAAATCTGAGAAAACATCTATAACATGAAAGTAGAACAAGATTAAGCTTATTATGAAGTTCTAAACTTCTAAGTTACCTGCATGCGAGTTCTAGCAAGTTCAATAGGATAGCAAGTTACACAAGCTAATGAGCGTGCCAAAGAGCCGGCAACTAGCGGGACATAAGCTGTCATGCTTGGTGCATTATGGGCAGTGAATTCCTCTAACTGATTGCGAAACACATCATAGCACGGTAGATAAATTCCCACCTGATTAAACAAAAGGCGAGTCACATAAACGAAAGATTAATGGCATGCCCAAGAGGAAACCCAACTAAGACCTGATAACATTAAAAACTTACTGTTGGAACAGCGAGGGCTAACCCTGCATTTGTGCCTCTCCATAGCCTTGCAAATCCTTCCTGCAATTTCAATCTCCAAAGTCAAAATCACAGGCAAGAACAGTGGAGATGAAGGTGACTACTTAGACAGGCATGGATAAGCACTATGCAAACATGTCATGTTTTACGAACAGGAATTAACAAAGCAATATAATCACGAACAAATAAGCAGGTGCACACTTTTAACTACAGTTCACTTTTCATGAACATTTGACATCACTAATACATCTAAAACAACGCAGCAAAACCCGCCCACCTGTCTAATTATTTTGTAGAAGACATCCAATGTGCCCTTGTACTGAAAACAATCCGGAGGACATATTGAAACAGTGCCTTGAATTCCAGCCCGAGTGCATGATGGTGAACACCTTAGATCCGCAAACATCTGAGCACACAAAAAATAAACTAACAATAGTGAAAAAAGGAGAACAACATTATTTCCGCTAAATCAACTGAAAATAAATGGGGGGAAAAAAGAGAAGAAAAATCCAAGCGGCTGAACTGAAACTGTCAAACAGAAATATTACATATCTTAGCCTCTCGGGTAATTTGAATAACCTTGGGAAAATGCCTACATGTAATTACTCATACTCACAATACCACACATAACATTAAATCTGTCAGCTAATTGAAGAAACCAAGAGATTATAAGGTTTCATGCTGAGACACCAATGCAAGTAATAAACACAACTTATTGCATGATCAAGTAGTAAACTCTATCAAACCACCATATGCGAGATATGCAGACGATTTCATTTCGGATTACAGTAACACCGCCATAACAACAGAAGCAAACAGAATAAGGGTTACGAATCTAAATTTAGGACATAGAATTAAGGCGTTCATACCATGCTTGGTCCGAAATATGCCATCCGACTAATGACATTACTTAGTGGATGCGAGTAAGGAGCCCCAGCTGCCTGCGCTTGCAACCTCGTCTGCAACAGCATATAAACACAACAATTGCTCAGTCCATGTTTCCAAATCACTAAAACAACCAAAAATTTGATCATAGTCTTTCGCAAAATTTTTAAACTTGGAGCTAACGGAAGACTTGGCGAGCCAACCCCACTTAGTGGGGTAAAGTTTTGATTGTTGTTGTTGTGTTTTTAAAACCCCATATACCAAAAATACCCAAAATTCAACATTTCAGTTCTTCCCCTGCTACTAAATTGTAATGAATCCTAAAATAAATAAATTGAAAATCAAATGCAATGAATGTTGGTTTCGTTTTACACTTTCTTCTCACTTTCTCGGAAACCAAACAGACTACAAAAACAAATCAAAGGGCATACCTTTACAACATCCAGCGGATTAACAATAATCGCCGATAAAAATGCTGCCCCCGCCGCCGAGAAAGCTCGCTCGGCAACTCCCAATTGCCAGTCCGACGTTATGGGAAGCTGCGCGGCAGAGAACTCAGCCCCATCTCTAACCGTAGCGGTTGATTCCGGGCCCGACAAATCTACACCGGCAATCCCAACCGAGTGCGTTTGCTCCGTGCTCATCCATGGATTCTGGGCTCGCTCCAACTCCACCATCTTATTCGCCGCTCTCTCTCTCTCTGATCAGTATTGACCCAACAAAATTGAATTATTTTTGTTTTTAAATGAGAAATAGGAAATAAGAGAGAGAGAGAGAGAGAGAGAGAGAGAGAGAGAGAGAGAGAGTGCAGTAAACAAATGGCTTACCAGAAAGTAAGGCGCGCAAGAGGAGGGAGGGAGGCAGGGAGAGAGAGAGAGAGAGGGAGAAGAAGCGTATCAGCGGCGTGGAGTTTGTAAAGGCCACGTTTGGCAGCGTTTGTGAGAGCGACTAATTTTTGGCAGTAAAACCTACATGTGAAAATATTTACCTATACATTTTGAAATAAAGAAAAAAAAGTGTTCGCAACCTTCTCATTTTGGGAGAATTTTTAGTTGTGACGGAAATATAAGTGATACATCACGTGTTTTAATAGAAGTGGTGATAAATTTTATTTTTTAAGTTATTAACTTTTTAGCACACATATCTCACCATTTGTATAGTAACACGTGGTATACCATCCCGTGTACCAGTCACATTGAAAAATCTCTCCTCATTTTGACATTTTCACTGTTATTCATGGCATAAGGAGAAGCCCTTCGAAATAGGGATGTGATTAGAAGGGATATGAGATGGATTGTGGATTATGGTCAAGACGTTTGGTTTGGGATCCGTCTTTGGGTTTTTCCTTATCCCTTATTTCATCTTGTTCCTGAGGATCAGAGAAGTAATATGGATTGGAGCTTGAAGGTAAGTGATATTATTGAAGATTACTGTTGGGACCAAACTAAACCAAGTTTTGAGTTGTTGACATAGTTAAAAGGATTTGCAATGTGACCATTCCTGGTCACACAACGACGGATAGATTAATGCGGGGAGCCTCTTCTAATGGAGAGTTTTCAATTAAAACTGCAATTTGGTTGCAAAAAAGAGAGTAGACATCATATTAAGTGACACCCCATGACCATAATTTTGTTAAATTAAATTTTGGTGGCTCTGTTGTGCAGGAGAAATCGGCTGTAGGCTTTGTTATTAGGAATGAACATGGTGATAAACCATCCAGCCCGCCAAGAGGAAATTCAAATATTTCCTCTGGCCAACAGAAGCCGCAACAACCGCAACAGCAGCCGCAACAAATGCAAGAACATTTAAAAGATGCTGATAAGTCCTAGCTGTGACTTATCTGATTTTTGTATTTTGGATTAATCCATTTATTACTTGTAATTATCACTTGTATTATCTGTTTATTATACAAGAGTTTGTTCTACATCAAACTCTCTTTTGTAATCTCTATATAAGGATGAATATACAGAAGGGATAGTTATCCGAGCATAAATATACTCAACCTTTATTTTCTATCTCATGGCAATATGATCGGTGCTGGAGCGTTTAATCTCGATGGGGCTACCATTAATGAAGCGGAGGCGAAGGCTTCAAGGAGGGCCTTAAGCATGCAAAACGAAAGGGTTTTAAAAAATCATGGTGGAAGGTAACTCTAAACTTGTTATTTAGGCGGCCCAAGGCTTGTGCGAGATCTCCTGGAACCTCATTTCTATGGTTGAAGATATCAGGTGGTTAGTTTCTAACTTCGTTGACATCCAGTTGACGCACATTTTTAGAGAGGCAAATTTTGTGGTGGATGATTTTTCTTATCAGGGTCTCCATGTCCAAAATGATCATTGTTTTGGGAGTTCTGTATCCCTTTATTTGCTAGGGCGACTTTTGATTTGGATAATTTTGGAATTGGCTGTACTCATGGTTTCTCTCTTTAATGAAGCCTTTTATTCCTATAAAAAAAATAAGGAGAAGTGAGAAGTTGATATAAGAAGGCAAGTGATAATATTGTTAGCAGTTCTCAAAGAAAAATAGACATTTATTAGGTGACGAGCATTTAAGTGATGATGTCGTTAACATTAGGTGACACGTTAGCTCTGAATTCTCTAATGTATCCTTTCTAGCTAGGTTATGCTCTAAATTTCCCCGGCTAAAAGGGATCGATTTAGAGATTTAGAGCTTCATAAGTGAGAGAAAAAATTGCTTAATCCAAGTTTACATAATCACTTAACGCCAATGACCTAACTTATCTCCAAATTTCAATATGTGAAGTAATTGTTTGAAATATTTTAAGAGGTTGGAACCGGAAATCACCCTTAAAAATTGGGAGGGATCTGTAGTTTTAGTATTAGTAAACAGAATTACTAAGTGGCTGGTTATCAATAGTTTTTTTTCCCCCGAAGCTGGTTATCAATAGTTAAGACTTTAAAAATTATATACGCAAACAAAATAATAAATTCGATACTGTGTTGGTCATTCTTTGTATAGAATAAATAATTCGATAAAACTCTAATATAAAGACAATATTTTTGACCAAAAATAATTTTATATTACTAAGAACGCGAGTCTACACATGTTAAAAAATTAAAGAATTAGACGAATCGGACTAATTAGCGTTTAGTTGTTGAATCATTATGATAACTTTACTCTCTTAACTATATAAGACTGTCAGAATAAACTAAAAACTCAAAAATAGTGTAAGATAAACAGTTTTAATTATGATACTTTTATGATCAAAATATGTTAGGTACAGCGGAATAAACGAAAAAATGTGTAATTATTTATTTTATTTTGTTTTTAGAAGGAAGGTAGATATTTTATTTCCTACGCTTTGTCCTGATTTTGGTGGAGGCAAACAAGGTCTTGATGTTTGTTCGAGAGATTGGGACGTTGAATAAATTTCTTCGAGAGATTTTCAGTGTGCCTGAAATATAGCTTGAAACACAGGTCAAAATAAATGGCACCAAGTAAAGCTACACTTTTTTCTTTCCACATTTAGTATTTGATTCTTGAGAACAAAAAAAGAAAACTTTTAATTTTGTTCTTCTTGATCCAGTAGTATTTACTATTTAAAATTTGGGAACGGCAAGTGGTGAATTGACTTGGTAGATTTTTTTTTTTTTTTTTTTTACAAATGACTTGATAGTTAGGGTTTTTATTTTTTACTCACTGAATTTTGTCTTCTCAATTTTTTTTTTTGTTTAGTATATTAGTGTAGAATATTGTTTGTACTTAAAAAAAACTTGAAAATAGAAATGGCATATATGTAAAATGAAAAATTAACAAATATGATAATTGGAGCGTGGAATCTGGATTGGGAATACCAATTTCGCAATGAAAAATCTCATTCCAAATCTTATGTTTTCAGTGCAGTGACATATTGGTCATAAAATTTGAGCTCACGTGTTACGGTTTTACAAAACGAAAGCTAAGTGTCATGAATCATGATTTTGTATGAACATATATGTGTGTGTGTGTGTAGTTTTATAGAACTTCATAATATTCCAATAAGAAAAACATCTGTGTTGCTAACAATTAATCAATTAGCCATAAGTACATGTATAGCCACCTTAAGTTCACAGCCAGGGTCTGATGTCCTTTAAAAAGGTCTCTTCCATGTCGCTTTTTTAATTTTTTTGACATGTGTCATGACTCATACCACTTAATCTCAACTTAATTCTGTTAATTTTTAATAAGCTAGAGTTAAGTAGTATAACACGTGTCAAAAAAATGAAGGAGTCGACACAAATGCGACACCATTTGGGAACAGCAGACCTGCTGTAGTCAAGGGGCGGATACGATCCACCTTGGAGCAAGGTGGGCTGACATCAAGCTTAGAAATTATACATGAAAGAGCTAAGTGTTAAATTTTAAAAATCCGATATGCCTTTGGGAGTTGTCCTCAACGAATTGCCTTTATGAAGACTGGACAGAGAAGCTGTTATTGAGAATGAGTCTGATATTGATGGAAGGAAGGACTTTGTATAGGCTTTTAAAAGGTTGGGTTACTCTTCATATTGTCAATTGGTTTTATGATGGAACCCCAACTTTCTTCATGGTATCAGAGCAGGTTGTCCCACGTGTGAAGCCAAATGACCACACACACTCCACGTCAACTTGTTGTGTTGTCCACGTGTTAGGCTTGAAAATTCACCACACATAAGGGGGCATGTTGAGAATGAGTCCTACATTGACGGGTGGAAAGACTTTGCATGGGCTTATCAGAAGTTGGGCTTATTCCTCATATTGCCAATTAATTTTATGGTGGAACCCTAAATTTATTCAGCTGCCAGCCTCATACCTTTATATGTATTGTTATAGGTATCTTTATCTTTCAATAGGCTCATCATGACATCTATCGACATACTCACTCAAAAGTTAATGATATCAGTTGACATACACTCTTGAAAGCTGTTGACATATGTCGATAGACATGCAATATAATTTAGCAAATGGTCTTAGGCCTACCAATGTTAATGTTCCATAAAATGTCAATTTACATGCTTTTATAAAAAAATTTGTCCGCTGCGCATACTATTTTTATTGACAACCCCCACCCCCAATAATACTTCTTAGGATTACAACCTCGTTTTTTACTCAAAGATGTAAAGCATATTCGACCAAATTCACAAAGGACAATGATCATACAATACAAAATTGTCAAACAATATAATGTTCATGAAGAATGATAGTAACTCCGCTGAAAGACAGAGACAGCCACAGATTTAGCATAATTTCAAGATAGTTACCATCCACATTCCAGAGGACAATTACAAAATTAATAGCTAGCTACCTAGCAGCTTGCTTACAAAGCCCAGAAAATTGATGGGTTAATTTGTCTAGGAAGTTGAAGATAATTTGATCTCCTTGGATGCCACAATATTCAAAAGAAATGTTCTAAAAGACGCTAGGCGCTAGTCTTATGATGGGTTGGGGTTTACTGCTTAGACGGCTAGACGGACTAGTTGGTTTAGATCAATTATAAGTGTTTAATGCTTAAAGGATATATAATTACATTGAGATACATAAATTGTAAAATAGAATGACACATAAATTACAAAGTATTAGAACATAATGTAAAATAAAAATTATTTATTTTCTGTCTAAGTGAGAGTTGCGACTTAACGGCTCGGGGCAAGTTAGGCGGTCTAAGAGGGCCGCTCTTTCCTAAATTTCAAACATCCAGAGATTACTCGAGGGTGGTGACCAGCAATCTAGTAGCTAGGCGAGAATTTTTAGAACAGTGAGTATAACACATCAATCATGTTTTATACTCCTGTTAATACGTAGAAGGATTCTGGTACAGCCATACCATGTGTTTAATTAGTCAAATTGTGGCTATGATTTTTTTCTTCAAACGATAGATTTTGTTAGATTAGGTGTTAGATTAGCCACAAGAGTTCGAACCTACGCCGTCATGCAAGAGCTCAACTCCTTTCCACCACTGTGGCCATGATTGTTGGAAGATATCAAGTTTTGTCATTGATTAACCCATAATCTTAATTATAATAAACCATTTTATTACAAAGTCACAAAGCATAAAGCACATATGTGGAATATCCTTGATACGTACCCTCTGATTTCTTGTAGTTCTCCTCAAAACCTAGGTATAAACGTCTCCCTGTAATACTTCGTACAAATGAACGCCTATATATAAAATCATTACCACCCACGTCTACACCAGCAGCAAACACGCAACAAACAGTCGAGTATAAGGCCCCAGTTTTGAATTACTAAAATGGCCTTAGCCGTGCTGCATGCACTGGACTCAGCCAGAACACAATGGTACCACGTAACGGCTATTGTCATAGCCGGAATGGGTTTCTTCACGGACGCTTACGACCTCTTTTGCATCTCCACCATCTCCAAACTCCTTGGCCGCCTTTACTACTACAAGCCTGGCACCGGAAACCCGGGGAAGCTCCCACAGGACGTCAACAACTTCGTGATAGGTGTTGCCCTAGTCGGAACCCTATCGGGTCAGCTCGTATTCGGGTGGCTCGGTGACAAACTAGGCCGAAAGAAGGTCTACGGGATAACCCTAATCATAATGGTTATTTGTGCCATTTGCTCCGGCCTATCATTTGGCTCCTCAGCGGGCTCTGTTATGACAACCTTGTGCTTCTTCAGGTTTTGGTTAGGGTTTGGTATCGGCGGCGATTACCCTCTCTCTGCCACGATTATGTCTGAATACGCCAACAAAATGACTCGTGGGAGGTTTATAGCAGCGGTGTTTGCGATGCAGGGTGTCGGAATCATTTTTGCCGGGTTGGTGTCTATGATATTGTCGAAAATCTTCCTCGACCTGTATCCTGCACCGGCATTCAACGCCATCCCTGTGGATTATTCGCATGTAATGTCCACGCAGCCACAGGCGGACTATCTGTGGCGGATTGTGCTTATGCTTGGAGCTTTTCCCGCACTTGTCACTTTCTACTGGAGGATGAAAATGCCTGAAACAGGTCGGTACACCGCCTTGATTGAAGGCAACGCCAAACAAGCAGCTTCTGACATGGGTAGGGTCTTGGATATCGAAATCCAAGATGAACAAGATAAGTTGGCCCAGTTCAAGGCTGCCAATGATTACTCATTATTCTCCGGAGAGTTCGTTAGGCGTCACGGAAAACACCTAATTGGTACGTACCCTTCATATATACTCGCTTTTTTACCTCGTAACTAAAAACATCAACTGTATACCAAATACTGTAAATAATTAGTAAAATGATACTGTTTATATCCAACTAGATATGTTAATTAGATAAAACATTGGATTCGTATATTTTTAGGTTAAGAATTTACATAGAATATTTCTCTAGCTAGTTATCTTATCGGTCTGACGTTTGCTATATGCCTCAGGTACAACAACTACTTGGTTCTTGTTGGATATCGCCTTTTACAGCCAAAACTTAACACAAAAGGACATTTTCCCAGTGATGGGTCTCACTCAAAAGAACGTCGAGGTTAACGCGCTTCGAGAAATGTTCGAGACCTCTCGAGCAATGCTTGTAGTTGCGTTTTTGGGCACCTTCCCTGGTTACTGGTTCACCGTCTTCTTCATCGAGAAACTTGGCAGGTTCAAGATCCAACTTTTGGGATTCTTCATGATGTCTTTGTTCATGGGCATCATAGGCTACAAATATGACGACGTCAAGAACAACAAGTACATGTTTGCAACCTTATACGGCCTCACTTTTTTCTTTGCCAACTTTGGCCCCAACAGCACCACGTTTGTGCTTCCGGCTGAGCTGTTTCCGACTAGGGTTAGATCCACGTGTCACGCATTGAGTGCGGCGGCAGGGAAGGCCGGGGCCATGGTGGGGGCATTTGGGGTGCAAAACTATACTTTAAAGGGTGAAGTGAAGGAAATTAGGAAGGCTATGATATTCTTGGCTGTCACAAACATGCTTGGGTTTTTCTTCACATTCTTGGTCACTGAGACCAAAGGCCGGTCCTTGGAGGAGATCTCCGGAGAGGATGGTAGCAGTGATCGCAAAGCCGGAACACAGATGACTGGTGCCAATACATCAGCGACAACAAGGACGACGTACTAGGTAGTTAATTAAAGAGTTTGATTAGCTAGCAAAGCGTTACTATTCAGTTAGAAAATAATATATATCAAATAAATGAGCTCGAGCAAAGTTGTGGTCATTTGCTCGGATATCCATGCCTTAGCAATACCAATAAGAGCTGCTATAAGTGTTCCGATCGAACTTTGAAGTCGAAGAAAACAAAATTTGATCGATGTTATAGCAAGAAGAAAGAAAAATAAAAAAGTTTTGAGTTTGGGTGAGGTTTGTATTTGTTTATTTTCTTTCTTTTATTTGAACTTCTCATGTAACATACAAGAAATGAAAATGAAGATGTGCGTATATGTTTACTGCTGTATATTTTGATAAAAGACTGTAGTTTTTTTTAGATATATATATGTACCTAAGAAAATAATGTTAATGGCCGCAATCAAGCAAATTTACAACTTACAAAGTATTGAACTCAAAATCTTCCGTTATTTTCTTTAGAGAGCTGTTGCCCGCACTTTACTGCTAGCCACCTGTCGTGGTATAAAATCATGTTCAATGATTGAAAAATTAAAATTATAAATAGAAGTTCTGATTTTATTGATTAGATAAGTGTGCAAGAGATTGGGATAAAGAAAATAATTGGATCGCACCATAAATTATTTGTCACGTAAATTTTATTTGACAACCATATGAACAATTATATAAACGTAGTATCAAATGCGTGGACAATATACGGATTGTAATTTTGTCGATATATTTGTTGGCATCCCTATTATATCAAACTAGTTACTCTGTTTTTGTCCAAAGGTAGATATCAAACTAGTAGGTCTAGCTCAAAATTTTCACTAATAAGAGTGAAGAAATTACTAGGGAGTTTTGGGTGCATTTGTTTCACCTCCTTAGGAGGGAATGGTTTGGACTAGCTTAAATAGAACTATAATATTGTGTTTGGTATGTCCTCAGAGTAAAATAAGTGGGACTCGCCTCAACTACGAGGCCCTCCGGGGTTCGCTAAAGTAGGCTATCGAATCCCAAGCTTTCGCTTGGTATTAAGGGGGTCTAGAAAATAAGCGGATGTTTGGCTTCCTGCTGCCCTGAGAAATTTGCAGGTTGGGTTGGATATTAAAATTGGGGAAAACAAAAAAGGGTTAAGTTTTTGGGACATATTTGACAGTTTGAAAATGAGGAAAGATTGAAAATCAATGGAAAGATGAGTTTGAAAGTTCGAAAAATCAGTGATTTTTATCTGGCTTCTTCTAATTCATATGAATGGTAATTCAATAGAAAGTTGAGTTCCCAATTGAAAAATTCCAAGGGTTTTCAGCTGGGCTTTTGGGTTCCATTGATTTATTGGAAAGGTTTGTTTTTGGGGTGAGAGAGCGTAAAATTTGAGGGTTCAAATCACGTTTTTGAGAGAATGTAAATTTTGGTTGCTAGCTGTGGTTGGATTTTGCAGAAAATTTTGATGTTGGGTTCAATTTCATTGCATTAGAAAATTGGGAGTTTTAACGAAACACTTCTGGTATTGTTCACTTTTAATGAAAAACCACATTTTTACATTTCCCTGGTACTATTCACTACACCTTTATTTGTCATTTTTTCATTAAAACTAAAGTTTTTTTTTGGACTTTTCATTAGTTTTCTTTAGAAAATTATGGAGAAAGTTTTGTTAACAAAACCTTTTTTTTCCTTTTTGTCCTTATTTTACTTCTTAATCCGACTCTGCACCAAACGCTTCACTAAGTCAATTCAGCTTAGTCTAGTCTAAGCCAGTCCACCTTAATCTATCAAGCTAGTTCAGTCCGAGATAGTCTAGTGCAACAAACGTACCCTTTATGTTTGTATTTCACACAACATAGTTTTGGGTTCGATTTCTAGCGCTAGCGGATTACACCATAGTGATCAAGGAGGGTGAAATATTTCTATCAATTTTTTCAATCCCCGAAAAGGTCAACTGTTGTGGTTAAGCCATTAGCTGATTATTTAAAATAAAAAAAAATAGAACTTATACATGTAGCTGTAAGAGAATTTTTATGTGTCGGGAACATGACATGTACACCAAATATCATATTACAAATGATAAGATACTTGAAATTCCAACTACTTGTATTACCAGGCTGTGTTCCCAAGAGATTTTTCAAAGTGACCAAAACACGGGATAGCAAACCACGTGTCACTATACAAAATGTGGAATATGTGTAATAAAAATTTAATAACTTAAAAATTAAACTTCCCAACATTTATATAATAATACGTGGTGTATCTCTTGTGTTTCCACGTGCCGTGCCAGATAACAAACCTGAATCGCTTAAGGCGGACCACACCCTGAAAAATTGAATTGAACTGAAAACCCCAGAAATACAGTTTGGTTTCTTCTCCCCAAATTTCCCTCCATGAAATGGGTCATGGAAGTCAAAAGGCTCGTGTATTCTTTAGTTCTATATATGTACCTAAGAAAATAATTTTATATTTGCGGCCATAGTCAACTAGATTCACAGTTTACAAAATATCGAATCTAGGATCTTCATTATGTTCTTTAGCAAGCTTTTGTCTGCACTTTTCCATTGGGCACTTGTTGTGGTACCAAATAATGTTCAATGATTGAAAAACTACCATCATAGGTACTCAAGATATTGTGTTTGGAGAGGTGGATAGATGGGACTACTAGTTGCTCGATCAGGACCCTAGTTTTATTGCGAGCCAAAAACTATAGGCGCAATTCCCCTTTGACTCGATCTTAAATTGACTTATGAAATTTTCTACCAGAGCTGCAGAACTAACGACTCTATTAGAAAGTAGAATTACCAATTCTTACACGAATTTTCAAGGAGATGAGATCGGTCGAGTGGTTTGCGTTAGAGATGAGATTGCGACGTTTATGGATTTTTAAAAGAAAATTAATTGGACCACACCATAAATTACTTGTCACGTAAATTTCAATTGACAACCATATGAACAATTATATAAACGAAGTATCATATATGTGTGAGCAATATGCGGAAAGTAATTTTATCGATGTATTTGTTGGCATCATATTATGTCAAACTAGTTAGTCTTTTTTTTTTTTTTTGTCGAAAGGTACCATATCAAACTAGATACTTGGTCTAGCTCAAAATTTTCACTAATATAAGAGTGACAGAAATTATTAGGGAATTTTATGTTTGTATTTCATACAGCATTGTCTTGGATTCTCTTTCTAGCACTGATGAATTATACGATGGTGGTTAGGAAGACTGAAATACCTCTGATAATTTTTTAGCCCCTGAAAACATATTGTAGAACTTTATACATGTAGTTGGGAGACAATTTTTATGTGCTGGGAACAAAACCTAATACACCAAATGTTATAATACAAACAATAAGATACTTGAACAAAATTCTAACTACTTATATTATCAGGCCGTGTTTTGGTATACTGATTTTTTTTTTATTAGTGCTGGCACCACGTTAAAAGCCACGTGGCGCGCTTTACTAACGGCAGATAACAAACCCGAATCGCTTAAGGCGGACGGCACCCTGAAAAATTGAATTGAACTGAAAACCCTAGAAATACAGTTTGGTTTCTTCCTCCCCCAAATTTCCCTCCATGAAATGGGACATGGAAGTCGAAGAGATCGAGGCAGTCCTCGAGAAGATATGGGACCTCCACGATAAGCTCAGCGACGCCATCCACTCCATTTCCCGAGCTCACTTCCTCAACTCCGTCAAGTCCCTCAGAAGTTCCGGTAAGAAGAAGCCACAGCAGCAACCCAATGACGACGCCGCCGACGAGAACCGGGCCGGCTACGTGTACTTGAAGGACTTCCGGGTCGAACACGACGATGACTCGGCGATTCGGGAGGCCAAGAGCCTCAATGCGATTCGCACCGCGCTCGAGAACCTCGAGGACCAGCTCGAGTTTTTCCATGTAAGTTCGTGGCTTTTTCTAGGGCTTGTTTGGTTATGTTGTGTTTGGTTGCTGAGAAATTTGGTGGAAATTTGAAGATGAGTGATGAAATGCTTGATTGGGTCGGTTTGAGATGTATTCATTCGAAATTAACCTTGTAGATGTATAAATGCTTGGATAATGTAAATAATAGCTCTTTCGGACTACAAATTTTCAAGATATTTATCGGTCCTGTGTAATTGTAGTTGCTGAGAAAATGGAGAAACAAAGTGGAAAAATTCTAAAGGAAAAATCAACGTATGATATATGGTTCGTGCTGTTGTAATTTCATAAATTCTGCAGCAAATAGGCAAATGCATACAGCTTATGAAATTATGAAACTTGATCTGCTTGTGTTCCTTCGTTTTAAGAGTGATTTCAGAAAGGCAATTGAAGTTCCGAACATGATTAGCTGATGTTAGAAAGACATAGGATCGGGATTAGTTCCGTAGAGCAAAAGACGTTGTGATGAGTAAGGGATAATAAACACAAAAGGTTGTGAAATTGCTGGCAATTGTGTAGGATGCGCTTTACGCACTAGCACACAAGTCATAAGGTCGAGTGGTTGCAGGGTAAATTCTTGAATTTGATTGTGCTGAATGCATTTCATGTCCAGTTTTGAACTCCATGCTTTATAGTTATATTGGGGCTTTGTTGTGTGTTATGACGGTAGCATTGCATTCAAAGGGTGAAGTTCTCTGTGTTTCTGTTCATGCTGTGTCGCTTGCTTTGTGAAACTCACTGTTTGGGTTTCAAATTTGCGAATTGCTATTGGGTATATTCTCAACTCAGCTAATTTATGTCAGTTTTTTTTTCTTTTAAAGACTGTGCAGGTGCAGCAGCGGGCTGAGAGAGATGCTGCGATTGCACGCTTGGAGCAGAGCCGTATTGTTCTAGCAATGAGATTGTCTGAACACCATGGTAAGAAGTACCAAGTTATTGAGGAAGCTCTTGCCTTTGTTGGAGATGTCTGTGATGCAAGCCGTTTAGTTTCTCCTGAAAGTCTTTACGGTCCTCCGATCAGTCCTTCTGGTGAGAAGTTGGTGGCCTCTGAAGGGAAGAAGTCTAACATTTTGATCAAATTTCTCATTTCAAGTATCAATTTTGCTAAAAGAACGCTTAAATTGGATAACACGGGTGGAATACTTGGAAATGCTGCATTGGTGGCATTTAGCATGATTGCATTGGTGCATCTGAATCAAGTAGGTATTAAGGAGCATCCACAGAAGCTGGAAGATAAAATCCACATCAACAGAAATGCTAGAAAAACTTCACCGTCTATTGGTCGCTACAGCAACTTGGATGTTCTATTAGCCAGGGGTTAGCTCTGAACTTAAAAAAATTCTGCGGTAGGGAATCCAGTGGTAGGTTGCCGGACTCTTGTTATTGTCGGATTTCTTCCCACGGAAAGTTTTGGAGAATTTGACAAGAAGTGTGGTAACTTGTAAGCCCACCGGCGGTCCTCGCTCAAACTGTAGTGGTGACGACCCTAGCTGTATACAGGTTGTCTGGCTTCTCTCCTGTTATTATTTCAAATTCGTTGTGTATATCTCCAGATTACTGAAGTCCGTCTTTCCTTTTCTTGTCTATTGGAAATTCAGAGTATATCCCAGTTATGGTGATACGTGATTGTGGATGTATGTCATTCAATGGTCTGTTGCAAATCCAATTCACTGTCGTTTGGAGGGAATTGAAAAGCGATATATTTTCTTAATCGGCAACCATCTTTTACCTTCAAGTTAGACGCTTTTTTTTTCATTTTTTTCTTTTAACATACCTTGAATTTATTAAATCTTACAGAGAAAACGAGTCCTCTTTGTTGTTAAAATCAGCATCATCTCTGTCACTTAGTACAACGGTCTTCATTTGTAAGTGAGGGGGTTTTAGGTTTGTTTTTTGCCAAGGATGAACTTGAACAACATTATTGCTAGTGTATTGTGAGGTTGAGTCCACCCTCTTAACCTAAGTGTAGATAATATTTTTTGTTAAAAAAAATAAAATTTCAACATCATCTGTATCCTTGATCACTTTGAGAAACTCTCGGAATTAACCTAATTAATTACTGTTACCGACTAGTATTACGATATATCAATATTTCTTTTCACTCGTGAGGTTTCACGTTATGCTCACATGAATAACGAGAGCTTATAATATCTGTGTGAATTTGGTATCTAATTTGTTCATTGTGTGGTTTAACCCAACCCTCCGTTACTATTTATGTCTCGTCAAAACTTGGGCCTCGATTAGGTTTGGTGGTATAACGGGCCTACAGATTTCTAATGCGGTTGAATGCATTCTCGATACTTTGGAGTCCGAGAGGCTGTTTGCATGGGCCCGCCCCCGTAAGACTTTGAAACGTCGTCGTCGGCGGGACAATATAGCCCTTCTGGTCTTCACTCTCAATTTTTAGGTCAAAACCCTAATTTGAACGCGGACTACTTTAGTTGGTATTTTTCTAGCCAATCCCGACCATGCCACAGTATCATCACATGCAACTAGGAAAACCAAGAACCCATTCGTTGACGAACCCTAGCGGATATTTAATCTGCATTCCGACTAATGTCGGTTTTATTTACAACAACAAAATACAAAAGCAACTAAAGAAATCTGGGTCTAGCAAACTCCCATAAATCTTCCTGAACTAAAGTACCAACACCATCGGAGGAGCCTCAGAAATATGATAGCCATACTCCAAAGAAAACGAGTTCTTGCTAATTTATCTGCGAATATTTCTCATTCCCTATAAGTGTGCTGAATCCTGCATATGTATCATGCATTAAGAACTTACAAGAAGCCACCAAGTTAGAGAGTATGCGAGGATCACAACTCACCAAGCATATCCACTATGATTTTCGAATCAAACTCGATGATAAGAGGAAACGAATTGTGCAGAATATTGAATGTTTAAATTAAAAAAAAAAAAATTGTTGAAAGATAATGCCAAATTACAAAAAGGAATAATGTCGGAATATCAATTATTTAGGCGCTTTTTTTTTTGGGTGTGCTTTTAATTTCTTTAGGAGGCAAAAAACGAAAAGTTAAAAAGGGTTTGAAGACGTAAGTAGCCTCATAATTTGCAAGTGGTATGTGTAAACACTTTCTTGGACTTCCTATTGGATGACAATGACATGACTCAAAAGTTACAGTTTGAAAAGAAAAAAAAAATAGAGAACGTCGACAAGGTGAAAACATCCTTCTTTTGTCCAACTTTTCTTGTTCGGCTGATCCTTTTGTGATCTTAAATTTGACAATAAAGATTTTGTGTCCCTTTTGCTAGAGAATGTCCACCAAACAAGGTACTAGGTCAACTCGAAAATGAAAAAGGAAATTTGATATTTCATAAAAAAAAGATGGTAATGTTTAATGGAAACTATCTTCCCTTTTCTTTTGGGTTAGTAAACGGGGCACGAAATCCAAGCCACCGTCATATAAAGGGAGTAGGATTCTCTTCATTTCTATTTCCACCCCCTTCCATTCTCTCACACTTTGTTTTTTGTCTTATTATCTCTATAAAAAATTAATATAAGATATTAACGTTGCTTAATAGCATAACCGTTCAAGAAGGAGAAGAAGAAATGGGAGAAAGATTAGGAGGGGAGAGACATAAAAAGATAAGAGTCTGTTTGGTATCCTATTTGAAATTTTTTATCATTTCTCAAAACATTTCTTGAAAACAATTTTCTTTAAGACTAAAAAACTTGATTGGTTTGCGATTTAAATTTTTTAAATCTTACGACTTAAACTAGATAAAGAGATTTAAAAAGAGGGGGTCATAGGAGAGGGAGAAAGAGGAGAGAGGAGGAAAGAAAGTAAGAGATGATTGAAGGAAAGAGAAAGAAGAGAGAGGATCAGACGAGATAGAGAGGAAGCGGAGTGAGAGAAAGAACCAAGAGAATAAAGAAAGCGGATTAGAGGAGAGATGAAAAAGGTAAAAAAAAAAAAAAAAAAAAAGATGAGAGAGAAAGAAGAAAAAAAAGGAGATAGATTTGGAGTGAGAGAGAAGGGGGGAGAGAAAAAAAAATGAGAGAGTTTAAGTTTAAAAACTCTAAAAACTCATTTTTTTATGTTTTTAGATAATAGACTATATTTTTTATTTAATCTTGAATTCAGTTTTTGAAAATAATCTTACCAAACAAGTTTTTAAGGCCTAAAACTTAAAAATTGTTTTTTAGTTTAAAAAGTTAGATTCAAATAAAGTATCAAATAGACCTTAAACTTTTTAACCCGTAGATCTGGAACAAATAGTCTTGACCAAGACACACCGCAAAATCATTCGAAACAGTAAGAACAACACAACTTTAAAGCAACACAACTTTAAAGCAAGAGTTAAAATGGTCTTCCGATGGTTTGAAATGCAAGTAAATTATAAAATATAAAAGAAAAAAGATGTTTATCTTTTTGGAATGATTCAAAACACAATCTATTTTGCACAATCTAATGGTTTAAATTTTATTTATAAAGTTTATCAGCTGTCGAGTGTCAACACAAACAAAGTAAGCTAGAGAGAGCAAATGTTTATCTTCTTTGTTTTTCTTCTTGATCTCAAATGCAGAAGTGTCCTCTTCACAAGGATACTGAGATACACACGTAAATTCAGGCTCGCACATGTTTATTACACAAATAATTAAAATTATATTATGCAAACATATATACATACAAATTATGAAGTCATGGGAACTTCTAATTTTCAGTTGTCCACACAAAAACATCACAGTTTTCCACTTGCATGGTATATATAATATCGTAGCAAATTTTTTAACTTTTAGTTTGGAAAGATTTGATATACTATTAGATCTAAAAATGACTATAATGTTCAAGCAATACAACGTGAAAAATAGGCAATACTTCATTTCAAATTGAAGGAGACAGAAGATATAAAAGCAAAATATACACTGAATACTCTTGAATATCTTCTCATGTGATATGACCAATCTCAACATTATTTCCGTAACGAATCAGAACACAACATTGCAAATGATTTTGAGAATAGATGGGTTGGACAAGTACTAAACAATATAAAGTCCACCTGATTGCTGTGTGACATGCATATAAGATTTTGAATTTGGAATGTTGCGTTAATAATAAAAGAAGTATAACAGAAGCTTTCCAAAAAAAAAAAAGAGAAGTATAACAGAAAAAGACGTTGCTTTGGTTCCAAGTTCAATGAGCAGCTTCTGTCCAAATCAAATCTTCTTCCATGGACCGACCACATGGTCCATGCCACCAAACCATTGCCAAAAAGGAAGAATGAAAAGAGTCATGTTTTCCCAAATTTTTTATTTAATTAAACAAAGAATTATCTTTATAGTCCTACATTTATACGCAGAATAAATTTCGCACATTTCCTCCGTCCTGTGAGGCCATAACTCGATTAACCATCGTTGTCGGTAGGTGAAATTTGAGTGCTTTGCCCTAGTGGGGCCAAGGTGCTTGACGGTGACAGGTGTCACGTGATAAGCTGTGATGACTCTTCTTGAAGCCTGCCACGCATACACACAAATTAGAGGCAGTGGCAAGTTGGGTGGCAGTCAGAGGCCCAGCTCCATATATATTCACGTGTTAACCACCCATTTGTCTTCTTGGTTCAGGGCCCTCCTAATGAATTTTGTTGAAAAAAATTGAAAATAAAATATGAATTATTGAAGAAAAAAGGGGTGTTCTTGGACGGTTGCCCTACATGAGAACGTGAGGGATCAGGGGTCGACCATGATTCGTCAACCTTCAACTAAAAAAGTCATGATTTCCATTAATTTAGCATGATTTGGTGGAGCGTATGTTAATCACTTTCAAACGATCGAGTTTGAAGGTCCTAGTCCAACTCAACCGTGCTAGTAATACAAGACCGGCTTTCTTCATGGGGTAGTTGTTTCCATTCGAAAGTCTCACAAATACGACAACGATATATTTTTGTGATACGGTAATGATATAATTTTGTGGTAAGTTTGATCTCTAAATGTAAGTGGATTTATATTGTCTATCATGAAAATATAATTTTATTTTAAGTGCATTATCACTTAGTAACCGCATTTTTGCAGATATTTTACCGTTTATTAAACATGAACCTAGCAAATCAAGTCGAAATTCGGATAGGTCGGAGCTACAACAGTATGGATTGAAACTTTGATAACAAACAAATGAATTAAAATTACGACTAAAGATGTAAAACAAATCCCAATGCATGTATAGCATATGTAGCACATAAATGTAGCCCGAAAATGTTCAAATATTGATATATAGGATGGGCGAACCATGCTAAGGGTGGCTGCTTCCTGCAGCCCTGGAGACTCATTAGAGCAACTCCAGCGTGTGAAACTTTCCCCCAGGCAATACACTATGTTATCCACTTGGTGAACAATAAATGCTTTAATGAACAGTAATCGCCTTTTGCATCTCCACCGTTGCACTTCAATAGCCCTAGTAATAGGCAATAAAATATTAGTATTTTATTTATTTATAAAATAATACAAAATAATTTTAATTGTAATTTCGGATAAGATTTTTAATCGTTCTCGTTGCGCCACGTGTCATTATCCGAAGTATTATTAAATAATACAAAATAATTTTATTCGTAATTTCGGATAAGATTTTTAATCGTGGTGTAAGGTAGATGATAATGAGAAGGTATTTATAGAAAAGTAAAAACTTTTTTTTTTTCGGATTTTTTACAATTTTTTTTAAATTTTTATTCAACTAATTAATCTCTGCCATTGGATA